CTTCCCCCACCTGGTGAAAGAAATGGACTTACAGGTCCAAGAAGCGCAGAGAACCCCAAACAAAAGGAATCCAAAGAGGACCACACCAAGACACATCATAATTAAAATGCCAAGAGCAAAAGACAAAGAGAGAATCTTAAAAGCAGCAAGAGAAAGAAACTCAGTTACCTACAAGGGAATACCCATACGACTGTCAGCTGATTTCTCAACAGAAACTTTGCAGGCCAGAAGGGAATGGCAAGAAATATTCAAAGTGCTGAATACCAAGAACCTACAACCAAGAATACTTTATCCAGCAAAGCTATCATTCAGAATTGAAGGTCAGATAAAGAGCTTCACAGATAAGGAAAAGCTAAAGGAGTTCATCACCACTAAACCAGTATTATACGAAATGCTGAAAGGTATCCTTTAAGAAGAGGAAGAAGAAAAAGGTAAAGATACAAATTGTGAACAACAAACATGCATCTATCAACAAGTGAATCTAAGAATCAAGTGAATAAATAATCTGATTTACAGAATGAACTGGTGATTATAATGAATCAGGGACATAGAAAGGGAATGGACTGACTATTCTTGGCGGGGAAAGGGGAATGGGAGATGCGGGAAGAAACTGGACAAAAATCGTGCACCTATGGATGAGGACAGTGGGTGGGGAGTGAGGGCGGAGGGTGGGGCGGGAATTTAAGAGGAGGGAACACTTTCCAACTAATTTTAAGAGCCTATATTTACCTTGATCCTAAAACCAGAAAAAAAAAGGCATATAAGAAAATACTGAAAACTAATATTCTCATGAACATAGATGCAAAATCTTCAATTTAATTTTAGCAAATTGAATCCAGCAACAGATAAAAAGATAATACATCATAACTAACTAGGTTGTCCTAGGAATACAAATCTGATTCGATATTCAAAAATTAAGCAAAGTAATCCACCATATTAACAAACAAGAGAAAAAAACTATGTGATCATAATATATACGGAAATAACATCTGACAAAATTCCACATCCATTCATGATAACAATTCTTATCAAACTAAGAATAGAAGAGAATATCCTTAAGCTATTAAAGGGCACGGCAAAAAACTTACAGCTAACGTCATACCTAATGATTTAAAAAACTGAATTCTTATCCTCTAATATCAAGGACAAAGCAAGAATGTCTGCTCTCACTACTTCCCTATTCTCTGTTATATCCAAAGTCCTACCCAGTTCAATATGCAAGAAAAAAATTCCAAAAGGTATACAGTTTGGAAAGAAAGATACACAACTGTTCCAATTTGCAAATGACATGATTGTGAACATAGAAAATACTAAGAAATCTACAAAAAAGCTCTTAAAGCTAATAAATGGCTTCAGTAAGATTACAAGACCCAAACCCAATATATAAAAATCAGTAATATTTCTAATATATTGGTTCTGAATAATTGGAACCTAAAATTGGGGGATGAAGTATTATTTACAATAGCTCAAAGAAAAATATGAAACATATAGGTATGAATATTAAAAAAATATTTGAAGACAGATCAATAGAAATTATCTAATATAAACAACAGAGAGAAAAAATATTGAAACAATCAAATGAGATTCAGGGGACTGTGTTCAGTATTGAAGGCCTAACATTAGTATCTTTGCAGTCATAAGAAGAGGAAAGAAAGACGTTGGCACACAAGAATAAATGTAAAGAAATAATAGCTGAAAACTTCCCAGATGTAATGAAAACAAATTTACAGATTCAAAAAGTTGAGTAAACCCCAATCAATGTAATCTGCAAGAAAGGATTTATATGCTGAAAACTATAAAACACTGATGAAAGAAATCAAAGAAGGTCTAAATAAATGGAGAGATATACCATGTCCATGGATTGGAAAACTCAATTTTGCTAAGATGCTAGTTTTCCTCCAAAGCATTGCTAAGTTTCATATAATCATAACAAAAATCTCATTAGGACTATATAGATATCAACAAACTGATTCTAATATTTATGTGGGAATCAAAGGAACTAGATATCCAAAACAATTTTGAAAAAGAAGAGCAATTTGAAGGACATTCACTACATGCTTTTAAGAATTATGATAAAAATAGAGTAATTGAGATAGTGTGGCATTGGCAAAATGATAGGCACATTGATCAATGGAACAGTAGAGAGTCTATATAGAGATCCAAACAAATATAGGTGACTGATTTTTTTTACAACAGCTTAAAGTAATTCAATGGAGAAAAGTTATTCAACAAATGATTCTGGAATAATTGGATATTCATAAATAAGAAAATAAATCTCAACCTCTATCTCAAATCTTATACAAAATTAATTCAAAATGGATCACAGATCTAAATAAAACTTTTGTAAGAAAACAGTAGAAAATTTTTGAGAACTTAAATTAGGCAATATCTATATTTCTTAGATATAAAGTACAAACCATATAAGAAAATATGATAAATTGGACATCACGAAAATTTAAAACTTGGATATCACCAAAATTTAAAACTTTTGCTCTGGGAAAAACACTATGAAGAGAATAAAAACATAAGCTATGACCTAGAACAGTGATGGCGAACCTTTTGAGCTCGGTGTATCAGCATTTTGAAAAACCCTAACTTAACTCTGGTGCCGTGTCACATATAGAAATATTTTGATATTTGCAACCATAGTAAAACAAAGATGTATATTTTTGATATTTATTTTATATATTTAAATGCCATTTAACAAAGAAAAGTCAACCAAAAAAATGAGTTCGCGTGTCACCTCTGACACACATGTCATAGGTTCGCCATCACTGACCTAGAAGAAAATATTCACAAATCACATAGCCAACAAAGCTCTTATATCCATAACATTTAAAGAGTTCTCTCAACTCAAATATAAAAACCCCATTTTTAAAAAATATTTTTATTGATTTCAGAGAGGAAGGGAGAGGGAGAGAGAAACATCAATGATCAGAGAGAATCACTGATCAGCTGCCTCCTACATGCCCCACACTGGGGATCGAGCCCACAACCTGGGCATGTGCCCTGACCGAGAATTGAACCATGACCTCCTGGTTCATAGGTCGACGCTCAACCACTGAGCCATGCCGGTTGGGGCCCATTTTTTTTAAATGGGCAAAAAATTTAAAGAGATACTTCACCAAAGAAAATGTATGAGTAGCAAACATGCACATGAAATGATACTCAACATCATTAGTCCTTAGGAAAATACAAAATAAAACATGATGAGATACCACTATAAACATATTAGAATGGCCATAATAAAAATTTGATTTAACTGATAATACCAAGAACCAGTGATAAAGAGAAGCAATTGGGTGTTTTATACATTGCTAGTAGTAATACAAAGTGAATGGCCACTCTAGAAAAATTGGCAATTTTTATAAAGTTAAGTGTACACTTACAATATGATTCAGCGCTCTTTATCTTAAGTATTAACCTAGAGAAATTAAAACTCTTAATCACACAAACACCTGTCCATAAATATGTATAGAAACTCTTCTTAATTGCCAAAAACTGAAAATAATGCAAATGTTTTGGAATGGGTGACTAGATAAACAATCTGCCTTATAACCATGCAACAGTCTTTCTCAGCAACAAAAAGAAATGAATTATTGATCAAAGACTTTATCTTAGTGAAAGAAACCACACTCAAAAATGTTAAATACAATATGGTTTCATTTATGTGACAATTCAGAAAAAGCAAAACTGGCTGGTGAGGCTCAGTTGGCTGCTGAGAAAAACTGCCGATTTAGTTCCTGGTTAGGGCACATGCCCGGGTTGCAGGCTCAACCCCTGGATCCCTGGATCGTGCAGGAGGCAGATGATTGATGTTTCTCTTTCTTCTTCTTCTTCTTCTTCTTCTCCTTCTTCTCCTTCTCCTTCTCCTTCTTCTTCTTCTCCTTCTTCTCCTTCTCCTTCTCCTTCTTCTTCTTCTCCTTCTTCTCCTTCTCCTTCTCCTTCTTCTTCTTCTCCTTCTTCTCCTTCTCCTTCTCCTTCTTCTTCTTCTCCTTCTTCTCCTTCTCCTTCTCCTTCTTCTTCTTCTCCTTCTTCTCCTTCTCCTTCTCCTTCTTCTTCTTCTCCTTCTTCTCCTTCTCCTTCTCCTTCTTCTTCTTCTCCTTCTTCTCCTTCTCCTTCTCCTTCTTCTTCTTCTCCTTCTTCTCCTTCTCCTTCTTCTTCTTCTTCTTCTTCTTCTTTCTCTCTCTCTCTCTCTCTCTCTCTTCCTCTCCAAAAATCAATTAAAAATATTTGGAAAAAAACCCAGAACTATAGAGACAGAGAACAGATCAGTGGTCACTAAGGGCTCAGGGTGGGTGGGAGGTTTTAACACAAAGGGGAAGCATAAGAGAATGTTTCATGTGAGGATACTGTGTGTGTTAATCATGGTAGTAATTACACGACTATCCATTTGTCAAAACTCACAAAACGATACACAAGGAAAATAATTGACTTTTTCTGCATATAAATTAAAAATAAAAAAGAAAGCTGGAGTGACTATATTAATATCAAAAAATAAGAACAAAAATCAATGAAAAACAAACAAGAATATAAATTTAATCAAAAGCTGTTTCTTCAAATAGTTAAAACTCTTGCCAGATTAATGAAGGAAAAAAGATACCAATTACTACTATCAAAAGGATCATCACTATAGATTTTACAGACATTAAAAGTATAACAAAGAAATACAATGAACAACTTTAGGCCAGTGAATTTGACAACTTAGATAAAATGGACAAATTCATTGGAAGACATAAGCTGCCTCAGCTGATAACTACGGTAGATAACCCGAAAAGCCCCAAATCAACTAAAGAAATTAAACTGGAAGTTTTCCTCTAAAGAAAACTCCAGGCCTACCTGGCTTCACTGGTGAAATCTGCCAAAGATTTATAGAAGAAATAATACCAACTCTACCCAAGCTCTTCTAGAAAATAAAGTGGAGGGAACACTTCCCAGACCATTTAGCTACTTCATAAATTTTAAAACATCAGATGGAGAGCAGTGTGCTCTTTACTTACAAGGCCCCCAAATCGAAATCATTGCCCAAGAACTCCTCCAGCAGACTTGTATCCAGGGCCAGGTTTCCCAGGGTGTCATTGGCCCCCTGAGCTGCAAAGACAAATTGAAAATGTTGAGATTCATGAAGATTTCATCATGGCTAACAGTTAAAAACATTGATATGCTTGCACCCAAGAATTTCAAAGCAACTAAATGGCATAATGCATTTATTTTCCATTCAAATATTTTCTTCAGAAATCTCTTTAGATGTCACCTTTTTCCAGCAGCCTTCCCTGACTGCCCAAGGCTGGTTCGGTGCCCTCATTTATGTGTTTCCTTAACACTATGTGCTTTGCCTCATATACTATTATAATCATTTGCTTTTGTGTTTGTTTATTTATCTAAAGTTTTTAAGGTTAGGGACTGTGTCTTTCTTACTGTAGCTGCAAGATTCTATAGTGTAAACTTTTTTATTGGATAGACTTGAGGCCTGGTGCATGAAATTCGTGCACTGGGGGGTGGGGGTCCCTCAGCCCAGCCTGCCCCCTCTCACAGTCCAGGAGCCCTCAGGGGATGTCCTACTGACAGCTTAGGCCCGCTCCCCAGGGAGAGCGGGCCTAAGCCACAGACTGGCGTGTGTGTGTGTGTGTGTGTATGTGTGTGTGTCTGCTGGGGGCCTGCCCCTCACTGCGCCGTGGAGGCTCGGAGCAGGTGCCCCTCTATATTGATCTCTCAGGCTCCAGGCTGCACCTGCGTGTTGTTCTCTAAGGCTCAGGGCCACACCTGGCCCCTCCTCCTGAGCTGGTTATGACCATTATGGAGTCCTGACCTCATTTGTATATTACTATATATATGAATGGATGGTTGGACAAATTTTTCCAGTTGAGACCAACAAGAAGTTCCATATCTTGCTTCACACTTTGTTAGAATTCCCAAAATGTAACACATTATTTCTGTCCTTTTTCTCGATTTAAATAAATGAAAATAAGCTCATCAGTTTACTCTGTTTATAATAAAAATGTTAAAATTGTAAAAGAATATAAAGTATAGGAATATACTATAGAGAAGACAAAACAATCTTAATTTGCAGATAACATGACTCCATACCAAGCAAACTCAAGAGAAACAACTGACAATTAGAAATAATCAGGAAATTTAAGAGTCATTGGTTGAAATTAAATATAAAAACTAACTACTTTGTTATACATAAAAAATCCCAGTCAACCTCTTCAATAAATAGCATGAAAAAAAGAAAATTACATTCAAAATAATAAAAAGCATAAATTATCTAAACGTATATTTGGGGACTTTTTTTAAAAGTGTAAGGAAACTCTATGAAGGGTCATAAGAAATTTGAACAAGTGGAAAGACTTATCTTGTTCTTTGACTAAAAGACTCAATATTGCAAAACTTCTACTGTTTATTATTCAGGACAACTACCAAACCTGTATGTTCATTTTCTGAGAACTTTCCCCTTATGTTTGTATCATGTAACTTCTACAGGTGCCTGAATCAGGGAGAACCAATCCGTTGGTTGGCCAGTGGCCAATTCAATGATTTCTCCCAAGAATTCAAACTGATAGACTTTAAAGCTGATGGTTGGGATGAAGTCATAGCTAAGGCAGAGGACTAGAGGGTAGTCTAAATATTTCTGCCATGTGTACCTAGGTCCTTCTTGATTTTTAACCCTTACTGAGCCTGGTTGTTCCACTTTTGCTTTAATTACATGACAAACTCTTTATATACCCAACGTACTCTTTTGAATTGGTTATTATGTTACCTGAAATCAAATAATCTCCAAGTTAAAGTGTTCTGAAATTTTTCTGAAAAAATAAATACCCAAAATTCGCCAGAAAAATTGTGGAAGGGGGTGGGGATAAACGAGTACCAAGAAACACACAAATGGACACATCAAAGGAACACAAACAAGTCCAGGGCATTTCAAGAAACATTACACATAAATGAAATATATAAGGACTTTCAACACATGATAAACATATTCTTTCATACCAGTGAGAAAAGACTGATTATTCAATAAAAGTTGTGCAAAAAATTGGTTAGACATTTGAGAGAGAAAAGAAAGAAAAAAAACTGAAACATTTTCCTGCTTCAACACCAAAATACCAGGTAGATCAAATACTTCAACATGAATAAAGGAAACCATAGAAAGAAAACATGAGTGAATATTCTTATGACCTTGAGATAAAGAAGGCTTTTCCAAGCATGGCATGAAAACCACAACTATAAAGAAAGAGACTGATAAATTTCACCTCATACAATTTTTAAAGGGGGAAAGGATTTTTTAACATTTTATTTTAAATTAATTTTTAACTTAAAGAGAAGTCACAAGAGGACTTATACCCTTCACTCAAATTCACCAATTATTAACATTATGGGGGGACTTCTGGGTGCAGTTTAAATATGTAATACTTCAATTCTCTATCCCCCACACCAAAATCCCTCCCATAATCCAGTGCCTTGTGTTCCCAGGGCATTCAGATCACTGCACTAGTTACAGGAAGGCCCTTTTATGTTTAGCTTTTGGCTTGCTATCTCATCCACACTCATTAAAATAAAATGTTTAAAATCCTGAACACCTTCCAAATGGGAAATTTTTATGGGTACCAGAGACAAGTAGAAGGAAGGAAGGAAGGGGAAAAAAGAGGAGGGAAGGAAAAGAGAAGAGAGATAATCAACTCCATTCAGTGGAATGAACTAAGAGGGAAATAGAAGATATTCCTAAAAGTTGGGATGGTCAAAAATGACCTCATAGTGGAGTTTAGTCTTAGGCTAGACTTTGAAGAAAGGATAGGATGGAGATGGGCAGGACAAGACTCATTCATTCTTTCATTGCTTCAACCAACATTTATTAGGCATCTACCATGTGCCACTGGACAAGATTCTGAGGACACAGCAGTGGCGGGGTGGCGGGGAGGGTGGTGGTGAGAGAGAGACAAGCTCCCTTAGGGGGCTTCAATTCTAAGGGAGGAAAAGATGGCAACAGTGTGGTCTGGGGAGGATATTCATGGCTATAAAAAACAATAAATAAACAGGATTTATTGGAGAGGGATGAAAATAAAATGGAGTGGTATGAGAGAGTGGGGGCAGAGCTCTTTTTGATGTGGAGGCCTTGCTCAGAGAGCAGTCAGCCATGTAACTACGGGGAATGGCAAGGGCAAGAGCCTGGGGCTGGACCGTGCTCAGCATGTTTGAGAAGCAAATCATTCCAGCTTGGCCAGAGCACATGAGCGTAGGGAGGTGGGGAGGAGAGGCTCAGAGCAACGGAAAGCCTGTGGAAAGTGACACGATGTGCTTTACATTGTTAAAGTGTTACTCTGGTGGCTTTGTGGGAAGGACTATAAGGGGACAAGAACAGAAGAAGGGAGATGAAATCGGACACAATCGCTGTTTCCAGGGACATTCAGTAATGAGTTCTTACCCTGAGCCAAGCGAACGGATAAGCACTTCACCTGTATTTCCTCGTTAATCCTCACAGCAGCCCTAGGAGGTGGGCATCAGAAATCCCCAGTTTACAGAGAAGGTAACTTCCAGGGTCGCACAGCTAGTAAATGACACCCAGGGCAGCCAACCAGGCCGGCCTTCATTCCTGAGCCCACCCTTACCACAGACTCCATCACCACCACCTCTCCCCCAACAGTGCCAACCAACGGCAGAGAAGCAACTGCTTCTAGCACTTCACTGGGCTTTGGTCAAGCCGATTGCTAAGAGAAGCAGATGGAGGGAAGGATCTGTTTAGTTTCCCACTGAAATCCCTGCTGGTGTCCCATCTGCTTTATACAGCGCCCTTCCCCAACACACACACACACACACACACACACACACACACACACACACACACAATTTCCCAGGAACAAATAGGAGGTGGCCCATAGATGAGTGACGTGCTACTTGCTTTATATCACCACCTTCCCCCACCGTCACCCCCGGGGTAGAAATAGGAGATGGTCCACAGCTCCCAGGACCTGCCCTGTGTGGCTTGTCCAAACCCCTTAATGAAGGAGGAAAGATGATCCCTGCGGTAGCCAGCGTTTACTGGGACTCCAACAGCACATCTGTGCTTTCCAGACCCAAAGGAAATTACTCAACAAGATAAATCCATAGTGTCAGGTGAAATTGTTTCCAGGAGGCTTCCACACACACCGGGCCACTCTCTAATGGCTCTTAAAATAAATCCCATGCTTTTAAAAATAATCACTTTGCTCTAAATGTCTTAAACACTGGCTTATGACACCCAAACCTGCAAAGAGGGGGTCATTGGGCATCCCACCCCGCCAGGAGGCTCTGTTTCCAACCTCGATTGTTCCCTTTTCTACATTATGTTTGTACCTGGGGTGGCGGGGGGGGGGCGGGCGGGGGCTGTCACAGTCCCGCTCACAAAAGGAGAGGCTGCCAGGCCTCCTGGGAGTGCCGGAGAACGGACTCTTTATTGCTCTCGGAAAGCAAAGCCCTTCTGCACCCCAGCTCTCTGCCTCCTCTTCCAGACACAGTGACAGTGGCAGGAGGGTGACCCGCCTGCTGCCCTAGGCCTTGGACAGACAAGAAAAAAGCACATGGTTATGAGAGTCAATCCACCAGGGAGTGAGTGCCACAGACAAATCCACGCTGCATTCAGAGGACCGACTAACAGACCTACATATGCCTTTGGGGAAACTGCACAGCCTTTCCTTACTCCCTGCCTCCCCCACACCCGCCTGCCCATCCACACACTCTGGTCCTATGTGAAGACCCTTCTTGTTTTCATCTGACGGGGTCCCTTCCCACATCACTGTCCCCAACCCAAATGCTCCTGTTCCTTCTATATCTACTCTGACACCCTTCGTCCCACAACAATGCTGCCCAGAGGACTCAGACAACAGACACGTTGACAAAATTAGGCAACCACGAGGATCACCGTAATGGTTGCCCTTTGGATTTAAACATAAAGATAGTTTCCCTCTGCTACGCCAGGGTTCATGAAAAATGGGAGCAGACGTGTTAATGGGTACTCCAAAGGAGGAGGAGGATGGGTGGGGAAAGAGGAGATGGGGGAGAGAAAAGCTAATGTTGGTGTTTAGAGCCATAGCCAGTTCAGAGTTAGATGACACCAAAGA